TGTGATGTGGGTTGCTTCGGAGAATTTTGTTGTGACGTTGTAGAAGACTGTGTGGAGGAAGTAGGATATGGTGTATGTGTTTGAATATTAGAAGAGCTACTTGCATATCGATCAGAAGCGTTTATGGGAGCCAACGAAGGTAAGGACGCTGCTGGACGTGATGCGGCTGGAACTATGGGTCCACTGGAATAAGTAGACGGTGGAATTGCTGCTTGAGTTGAAGTAATTGTTGATGAACGTGCAGAGTCTTGTGGTTGCGATACTGTAGGTGGATGTGCAGCTTTAGTACTTGCAGAACTTGAACTAGTGGCAATGTTTTGTCCATAACTCTCATGAGACGGATATCCCATTTCATGTTGATATCGGGGATGACCATACAGGTCATGCCGTGGTGGATATTCATGTGGACGGCCTGGATGAGGATAAAAATGAGCAAAGGCGGATGGTGGAGCACCATACATACGAGGTGGCGGAACGTTGGCAACACCACGTTCGGCGGCAGTAGATTGAGATTGATGTTGTTCAGTAGATAAAAGATCTTGAATAGGAATTTTTGAAGGGTTCTGTCCATGTTGACTCGAAGCAGGATCACTTGATCCATAATCCTGTTTCGGAGGAGGATGAAGAGGGCCCATAGGTGGTGGAGGATATACAGGATAATAATCAGGATACGGATACATTGGAGGACCATGCATTGGTACTGGCGGTCCATTTCCACGATAAGGAGAAGACAATGATTCAGTGCTATGTTTCGTCGGTGTACGATCACCATAATGATGCCATGGACGTGGAGAATATGGATTTGATGGATCATATCCGTAAGGCCTTACAGCACCTGAAGATTCGTTCGAAGGATGAGGCATTCTTGGTGGTGGATCGTAATATCCCGGTTGGCCTGGATACATTGGAGGTCTACCATATGCGGGCGGAGGAGGATATGGATAACGATGATGGTCCGAACCATCTGGCAATGGAGGCGGGTAATAATACGGATGATAACCATATCTTCTATCATACGGATCATAATAGGGATAATGTGGATCACCCATATATTCTCGGTCGTGCCATGGTGGAAGAGGTCGATGCAAAGGATATCCATGCCCATATATGGCGGCGTTATGATCATAATGACCATACGGATCATAAGGACCTCGATGACGGGAAGATGGTGGGCTTTTTCTTCCGTGATCCCTTTGCCTTTCTAATGGATCTGGACTTCTTCTTGAGCGTGAATCCTCTATAGATCGCGTACGATCCGTTATTTCCGTTTCTGACGATTCGCGGCTATTATCATCGTATTTACCGTCGCCACGTGCACGTTTCATTCTGCTGCCATCTGCGTCTTCAATTTGTTCTAATTCCTTTCTTTTGACTAACCGTCTGCTTGTAATAGTTACACAAAAATGTTGATAAAAGTCACGTTAGTGTAGCAAGAAAATTAAAAACATAGATATAGGAGAGAAAATCAAATAACCTTCTTATTCTTATCTCTTTTCTAATTCGGATTTTCAAACCTTGGTCAGCAAAAGATCTTGACAAAAACGTCGACTCTATTGCAAATAATAATAAATAAATAAATCCTCACTGGTAAAATTCATATGAAACATACCTTCCATTCCAGGAAATCTTTTTGCAGAATACACGACAAAGACCTCGGAAAAGATTGATTTACAATGAAATACTTCGCGTCTATAATCAAGTATAATAAAGTACATGTTATAACAATTCAAGACTGTAAAAATAAAATATTTGATGCTTACGCTACTATTTCGAATAGACTTAGTTTAAGACGATAAGTTCCTTCCATACGCACGGACAAATCTGGAAATACGAAAAACCCGGCATCCGAATTATCGACATCTTTAAGATGGTATAGAGAAGAAACGACAGAACCGGTTGTAGAACGTGTTTTGCCATCGCGAAGTAAGTGCAATTCTTCATTTGTATCAGGTGCCACAAGGGATGCATACATAAAGAAATAAGGATTCTGGAGAAATGAACTATTAAATAAAGAAAAATAAAATTGTTAGAACAATCCATCAAGTGAGATGGCACATAAATTTCAATAATTATTACTTCTTTTCGGATTGAGGTAGACTATCATCATAAACTTTTAATTGAATTATTGGAGGTGGATCTATAGGGCGTCTGTCAGCTAACGTAAAATAATAAATAGACGAGTATAAAATTTATTATTATTATTTATTATTATAATATATTGAAAAGTTCAGATCTTAATCATGTGATATCAAAGTAAATGACGCAATTCACGTATCGATAGAAAGGTCACATCTTTAAAGATCCGCGGCATTACCGAAGGTTGCATGATGATGTATTCCAATTTTCCAGATTTAGACGCGTATGACACAAGTCATGTCATTTAACCGATTTTCAATTATTTACATGCATTAACAGCGAACAGAGGTGGCTTGATAAAGCACGAGAATTCCAAGCGGAAAACAATATTCAATATCTCTGGCAGCAACCATCGCAGCA